TGCCAGGGAATGCAATCGAGGCCCCTGCTTCAACAGTGGGGGCTTCGTTCTTTGTCGATGACCTTCGACACACGGCTGACCTCCTCCACTCAGATCCCCAGCCCCTCCACCTACCTCGGGCGATGAACGTGCACCATCCCTGGCATGTCCTCGTGCCAGGGAAAGCAATTGAGGCCCCCACTTCAACAGTGGAGGCTTCATTCTCCCTCATCGGTGTTTGATGCATGGCCGACGTGGCACCTCCTCCACTCAGATCCACCTACCTCAGGTGATGAACACGCACCCTCCCTGGCACGTCCTCATGCTATGGAATGTGATCGAGGCCCTCGCTTCAACAGTGGGGCTCCAATCTTCATCATCGACCCTCGACGCAGGGCTGCCTGACCACCTATCCCACTTCCTTGCTCGGTGTCTCAACCCCGCTTAGGTGTCAAACATGCACATTGCTGGACATGTGGACGAGCCAAACAGCACAAATGAGACCAAATGGGGGCTGATCTCGCATATATACAGCATCTTAGATTACATTGGCCCAGTTTCTGTATGGTTCATGTTAGTTAATATATATTAGTCTGTTGTTTGCTTTGGTATTTTTGCACAGTTTACTTTTTTTCTTCATGTTTACCTGTCTTCTTGAATATATATATTGCGAAGGACAACAAACCTTAAAAGTCAACTTGATTTAGTGGCTTATAATCAATGATTGACTAATTTTTACAACCATCACGATGACTTTGACCTCAGAGATTCTCTGTATGGTGCTTGAGGAGGTGGTGCTTCCTTGGTCTGATCTAGACCATGATACAAAATCTTGGCAGCTCTCCCTTCGAACTGTGGATCCCTTTTTCTACCGTGAGGTGACATTCACATCACCAGTGCAGACTCTCTTCATCTTTCATGATATTATTACTTTTGAAATGACTTGCTGTCACTGTTCCCTTGTGTATGGTGACACTATGAGCAATCAACAAACACACCAAAACTTCCTTGACATCTATCTGCTCCAGATCGAGTGTGATCTCACCGTCGTTGGTCAGGGCTTAGCACAGATGGCAGTTAGACTTATGGGTCGCCTTTCGGAGCTGAACTACATCATTGGAAACAGCCATGTCCTGTCGCACAGGGATGTCATTTAGATCACTTGATATCCTGGTGGCCAGAGAACCAATGTCCTCTCGAACACTTTCATTTGTACGACTACCGACGATTCGGTGATTTTATGAGTAGCATTATAAACACTACGACATTAACATTGCTAATACTTATTATAGAATGATATCACCCAGCTTACAGCACCAACTCCATGGACAAATCCTCTTTTTATCATTTGTCCTGCAAAATGTCGTCATCTTCAAATGGTGGCCATCAACTCACGACTTTTTGCATATCCCATTCCACTTCTGCCAGCCAGCATTTCCAAACTCCCTGCCTTCTTTGCGACAGGTACTTTTGGCTATGAAGGTCGAGAGCGCAATCTAGCATGTACATGGTACGATGCTATACCTTCATTGTGACGAATTTTCCTATCCTATGCTGGCTGGGATCCGCTCAATGTACATGGTACGATGCTATACCTTCATTGCGACGAATTTTCCTATCCTATGCTGGCTGGGATCCGCTCAATGTGTGGAGTTCAGATGGAGAGTCTCATGGGAGAGAAGTGTTGGTGCAGTGTACAATTGGTGAGAGGTTTGAAGTTATAGAGGCTTTGGACTCTAGCCTCTATGAGGGGCATCGATATGATCCTCATCCCTTTGATGGACAAGATCACACAGAGGTGTATCCTGATCCTTACGATTTGGATTCACAGATGGAATGGTCTAAGGTAAATGTGCTTATGATCAAAAGATAGACATTGAACATGACTTTTTTCTTCTATCCTTCCTTCCCTCTTCATTTTTCTCATGTACACAGAGATAAAGAGATAAATTACTACTCAAACATACTGTAGAATTGCAGTTGAATGTACAATATCATTGTTGACATGCATTGTCATGTGTTTAAGGAATTCAGTTGATCACTTGTATTTGTTTATTGTCTCTTTCGTCATTCACCATGGGCAACTTTGCAACAATGCCACCAGAAATCTTGAAGCACATCACTTCAAGTTCCAAATGTATCAAAGACTGGTCACAGATTGAACACAGTTTAGCTGAACACCACTGGCATCTAGAACTCCGTCGTGTCTGCCGATCATTCTTTCAAGGCTTTCTTAACCCTTTACCTTTGTCTGCAATCGATGTTCCGAATCTTGGACATCTCCTCCATCTCTTTCAGGCTATTGAGGATTACGAACGACAGCTTTGCAAATGCACACTCAGCGGAGGACAATCTCAAACTCACTGCAACTTTCTTCGCATTTATCAGTTGGGTGTTCGTATGGACGAGTTAGACAACAGTCTGGCTGTTTAACGTAGAGCTCGAGAGATCAATCCCTTTATGGGATACTTCAAAGAGCTCAACATTGCCATCTCTGATGGATCTTGGCTGATAAATTCAATAGAATATTAACATTCTGGATACTCACCGACCATGGCATGATATTGAACGATTCACATTCGAGGTATCACTCTTCCTCAGCTACGTGTTCTTATTATCGACACTCCATTCACCATCCAGCCACTGTCACTCACTCTTCCAAAGTCGGTTCGAGGTATCCAACGCACTATCAATCCAGATCGACCTGCTGTTGAAGAAAGAACAATCACCGACTATTTATTCCAGGAACTTCCACATCTTCAACGTTTACACATTGCTCATTCTGAGCTCAGTATGTTTCATAACATGCCAGATCATGAGGGCTTCAATGGCTCTCAATTCACTGGACATCGTACAACCGATGGAATTGTCGAATATGGACAATGCACAGTTGATGAAGACATTCGAGGTCATCAAACGGATCCAGATGAGCTGACGACTTGGGGTATGCCAGAGTATGAGTGTGACCCAGATGACAATCATTCTCCTGCAGCTTGGCCCTTTATGCAAAGTTTCTTTCCTGGGTTGGACGGATACTTCTATTGACTTTCCGAGTTTCTTCCATTTTACAATGTTATCTTTGTATCTTTTATAGAGTCATGTCGCTTACAATCTGCGAGGATTTGTATCTGCTTGTAGGACAATTAAATAGGCTATACGTTACTGAATGACGGTGAGTAAACTATGCATGACTACGATAACCAAGCTAATGAATGTGAATTCTACTCAGAATTTGTGTCCATATTCTTCTCATGATTCTCAGTGTCAAGATGCAAACATTTGATGCCTCCAATCATCAAGTCATCTTCATTGTAACCTATCTTGCGCTTGACCCTTTGAATCAGCAATACAGGTGTGACCAGTGAGTTCATAATAACCTGGTTGCGATCCTGGAATATACGTACATCAGCATTCAATCTATCTGATCCATTTGATTACTTCTTACCGACAGCACTTGATGATCCAGAATGCAGATCGATTGTAATTTGCTCAACATAAGCATGCGTCCCTTCGATATTGGCACGGTGCAAAAGGTGACTTGAAGCTCTACGAGTTGACCTTCCTGGATGACTGACGGCTTTACGACAACAATGCTATACATGACAGTCAGCATTTGTGTTTTGCATCAATTCAAACATTCACTCACCTTGTCTCTCCTGAAGGCCTGGTGATACGTTCAAAGTATTGAACAACATTGTTGGTAAGATACTTCTCATCTCGAATACGGCTCCTTAGGATGCCAAACGGATCAATGTCATTTCCAATTGGGATCTCATTGTCGTCCTCCATGTCTCACATAAAAGAAAGGTACCAATTGGAGAACTCTAATACAAGTTCATCATGTTCTCAGATCGGACTCCATGGGATGAGCATGCCTTTATTGAGATGTTGAGCAAACAGCTGATGAATGGCAATAACACCCTTGACCGCTTCTGCAAAGGTCGGAGAACCGAGTCCCATCAATTTCACAGACTGCATTGCTCTGAAGAGCTTTGAAGGGAGTCTGATATCTTGTGAGCTGTATTTTTCTACGTGTAGACAATAACACTTACTGGTCATTTCGCACAATCGGTGGCAAGTCCTTTTTGCAAAGAAATCCTTGCACGTGAAGAACTGCATCCTCTGGCTCACTGTCCTCAATACTATTGTATGGCCATATCAGATTCAGCTGAGTCTTGCTATCTTCTTGAGTAAAGACTTGTGTTGTTACTCGAGCGTAGTCAGGCTGCAGCTTTGGTGAGCCATTCATTCATTGTTCACTGTATAAACTCTTACCTTGGCCATGTTGATCAATTGATGTGTAGCATTACCACCTTGACTTCGTCCCTTAATAACTTTGGTTAACAACTGCTTTACAAATATGTTGTGAGTTTCACGCAGCAAGTGGAAGCCGTCTAACTTACTATACTTTTCTGCATTGTTTCTCATAAATTCAACAGCCATCTTGAATATACTGTAATGACGGTGCAATGCCAATATTGTTGGATAGATGAAGAGTAAACTAAGAGGTGAATGTTTTCTTTGGTATAATAAATCCAATGCTGCAGTCCAACTTGATATCGTACGATGTAGCTAAGGAGATAATAATAGTCTGGATGCCCTAAAACATCTGAGGTGCAATATATTCCCTGTTATGTGACAATTCATTCACCCTCCAGATTTTCTTTATATGATATCGTACGATGTAGCTAAGGAGATAATAATAGTCTGGATGCCCTAAAATGTCCGAGGTGCAATATATTCCCTGTCATGTGACAATTCATTCACCCTCCAGATTTTCTTTATATAGTACACGGGCTTCCGTCACTTTCCTACTGGCCAGTATAATGCTGGAAAATAGTGGGATGATCATCTCCAACAGAATTTCCTCCCCAAAGATCTAATGTTCAAGATCATCGTACAATATATTCTATTTACATCAGTCGCATTTGAATTGTATAAAGGCTAATGACCTTATGCTCCCATTGATGTTCAACCTATCCTTCGTTTAAACAGGGTATCCTCTCCTCTCTTAACAATCAATGCCTCCTTGCACCAATTCGACTCCTACTAAGTGCGTTTCACTATACTGCTGGTGTTTGTAGCCTCTTGATAGGTTTCATTTTAGGAACCATGGTCGTACTGCTGGCCGAAAGTCAATTAAGTCTGATAAGATGGTTGCTGACTCTGAGTGAGCATTCTACTTCATGCCATGATAGTGATCTGATGTTATATAAACAGTGTTGAGATGGACGAGACCTCACCTTCAAAGCAGAAGAGAACTGCAGTGAAGTATGTGTTTGATTTCAATGTTGTGACGTCTCTCTAATACGACTCAGGTCAAATACCTCATAATGTGAAGGCCAAAAAGATGGTGGACTATAGTGATGAGGATACAGTAACAAGGTATGTGCAACTCACATTGTTTTTGATTATATGTTCAGCCGATCATCACAGGGAGAAGGCAATCACTATGCCTCGCAAAGGTGGTAAGGACAAGAAGACCATAGACAATATAGACAACAGCGATGAGGATAGGGCAGTGAGGTGCGTGACTCATACAACATGTCTATTCAGAAGCTGACTATCTGCGTCAGTTCTCCTCGTAAAGCTGGTAAGTATCAGAAGGTCATTGAAAGCAGCGATGATAAAACCAATCTGTACATCTCTCTGATACTGCTGATAGAAACTAGTTTAATCCTCTAATTTATCCAAGTGCTTCACGCATGTCCGGTCGTACCGCTGCCAAGATCGCAAGGTAAGTATTTTGTTACTGAGTCTTGAGTCACTGTTTATAATGTGTGTAGTGCTAAGCTGAAGGATGTATTCATGGACAATGACTCCGATGTCGAGCAGTCTTTGGAGAGGTATGCTATAGTCTTTTGTCTTTTTATTCTTCAAGTCTGAGTGTCTTGTAGTGATGCGGCTCTACCAATCAATGAACCTGAAATCATGGAAACTCCCAAGAAGAAGGTGAATAAGGCATTTGTTCTTTTGCCGACTTCCATTAGTTCTTCGCCCAAGTTTGTAGTTCAATTTATACTATTTTCAGACTCACTCATACATATGTTACTACAGCAAAGGAAAGGTGACTCATACACCCATCAAGCAAGTTTATGTCAGTGATTCTGACAAGGATGCACAGCTGGAACAGTATGTAACTTCAGTTTGACTATCATCTCATATTTTTATACTATTTTATTCAGATCTTCCCCTGTGAAGAAAGGTCGTAACAGGCAGAGTAAGCTTGACTCTGAAGCACAAGCATCAACAGAGCGATCCAAGCTTGATCATTATGATGTAATGACGTATGTTGTTTTCTTATATCAGTTCGCAATACTTTAAACTCACTTTGTTACATAGCCTGCTGCGCCTTGCCATGACGAAGATGTCAGAGCAGGAGAGACGAGATTTCTGCTTGCAAGTAAAGCAATATGATCCTAGAGACCGCGAGTATGTTAATAGCACAAGTATCTAACTGCCTATTGATTTCATTGAATAGCATCCACTTGTCTCCAACCAAATTCGCCAGTGGATCAAAAGGCAAGACGGAGGATGTTCTGTAAATATGTTTGATTATATTGTTATATGATACATTCTGAAACCTATCTGTATGACAGCATTCACCAGCCTTCACGCTCAGATGTTCAGAAACTGTTGCCCTCGTAAGCAAACATAAATATTTTGTGGTATATTCATTGATTTTAATATCCGCCTTAGTAAAGCAATCATGAAGGATGGAAAGATGGAGATCAATGTTTGTTTCGATGCATTTCTAAGGATGACCATATTTGTTTTAACTTTTAGAACGAGTACATATATCCTATACACCTCTGTGCTTTAACTTATACTGTTTCCAGAGATACTGATCAAGGAGAGGAAATTTTTGAGTGCCAGGTCACATCCATAACCTTGATGGATGCCATTCTTCTCAAGGCTGATGCCTACGAGACTTTGCCTCCCTTCCGACGGTTCATCTCAGTTATATTTTACTCTTGTTTTACATATTCTGACTCATAATATGCAGCGCCTACTATGCAATCACATATCAGCCTATCAATACACTCACATTCACTGGTGTGCTGGACGGCTTTATGGGATATCAGGTGAACAAGCTGTAAGTCACTACTTTACTTTGCAGCAGATGCATTTTGTCTAATATTACATCGTAGTTCATTGATCAAGACGCTCACCTTCACTTTCAGCGATGGTCTGTTCATCAATCCCGCACGCGCAAATATAAAGAACTATCAGATGACAGGTTCTTTGGAAAGCTGACTAGGGGCTCATCAACTGGCCATCACCTTTGGTGCTGTAACATTCAGCGCTGTCGCTGCCTCTCGTATGATACATTCTACATTGAAGTGGACAAAAGATATCAACATTGCGCCAATGAGCCTAGAATGGGAGCGGACTGTTGCATTCTTTGGCTCGTTCATTGGTGATAACTATGGTCTTTACACCTATCAGAACAGCGTCACCATGTCCACCAGACCATCTACATTGGAGCATCCTGACTATGTGGGCAATTGTACGTCCAATACTCTGTTTTGTGTCTTCTTTCACTTTGCTTATTCTTTTTTTAGCTGGCAGTACGTCACTCAACAAGATGCTTAGCAAGGCTTCTCCAAGCAAGGCTGTTGTGGGCAGGCATGGTGGTCCTTCTACCAGTGCTGATGGAAAGCGTGCAGCTGGCTTTATCTTACCGCAGGGAAAAGTTCCCAGCACACTTGATCATTGGGATGATGGTATGTCTGTTCTACAATATTCTCTGATCGTAACACTGATACGTCTGAGTCTTAGTTGTTGTATATGACTGCATCGCATTCTTCCAGGGCATTGAGAGTCGCAAGCGAGATAACGAGTTCTCTTTCAATTCAGTGCGTGACACCTGCCCGCGTTGGAATAATGAGGTTCCTCTTGGTTCTTTTGTTGCTGTTCTGTACAGCCCTGGCCAGTATAAAACCAAGCTGGGGACAGACTCAGTGTCGCTCAATCTGATGGCAGTTTGTATCTTGTTGAAGGAGGATTAATTGCACAGCGCTGTCTGGTCATTACAATTGTCTGATGCTTGCCTCTTGAATATTATGAGCATACTTTGCATCGTAGTTTGTTGATATGCATAAGAAATATTGAGACCTCTGACTTGAAAGTTTGTTACGTGAATGCTGTAGTCTGATCACGTGCTCTGTTGTGTTCATTATGTTATATTTATTTTTTGGCCACGTCGCAACATCTCTTGTATCAACCACCACCATGCTTGCCTATCGAATTTGTCTGAGGTTGCTAATAGCAGCCTTTTTGTGCTTTCAGCTCATGCTAGCCGGCCTTCTTGTGTCACAGTTAACTATAAACTGTGATTCTAATGTAAGCAAACTATATTGTTGGCGATTAAGAACTGTGATACCTGAGAAAATTATGTTGATTGAAGAAGACACTTCCAGTCAAATTGCATTATCTGTTGAGCATGTTGCTAGGGTGCTGGCAGACACACTCTCAGAAATTTCTGTGCGGCTAGACAGCAGGGTACAGGCAGACACCCTCTCGAAAAGATCTGTGCGGCTAGACCGCAGGGTACAGGCAGACACCCTCTCGAAAAGGTCTATGCAGCTAAACTATAAAATATTGACCGACACATGCTGGAAAAAAATATATTCATAAAGGGCCTTCGATCATACATTTGTCATATGCAATTGCACATGTTCTATTTTACCGACCGATTTCATACTTGCAGCTTACTCGTCTGATGCTAATTCGGGCATTCTTTCGTAGACATGACTTCTATGTGCTGCTACGAGCTTACACTAACTCTATACAGCCAAAGTCACCATCTCAACCAAAGTTCTTATATTTCAAAACTCAGATTACTATTAATAATGAAGTACGTGGTGGAGGTATTGCTCCTAAAAAACCTCGCACCTGGTCTGCTGCCGAGCTTCATGCATATAATGCAATGTCATATGATATTGATGATCAATACAAATTCTGGGATTACTCACTGAAAAACACCACAAAGATATCTCAATTCCATCCAGATATCATTCAGGTGGATATACCACTTTTATACTATCACAAAGACTACCAGGGCATACTCTGCGTACAATTGGACGGTTACATGGCCTTAGTATAAGTGGCAAAAGGCTTACAAGAGACAATCTTGAATCAATTCTGTCTGAGCATATTTGTACTACGTGTCCTGACTTTGTTACTCATTTTCAGAAAGTGCAACCAATTCAGAACAATGCTCAGCGCAGTGAGACTTATCGTAAGTCAGGTAAAAAGATTACAGAAAAGAAAACAAAGCCTAAAACAAGTGAGACTATTCGTACAACTGCTTTTCCACCTGCTCCACCTCCAACACCATTGATACATGAAACAATTAATGGATTTTGTACCGATACTGACCCATCTCAATTTATAGAAATGGCCTGCACTGTTTGCGCATTGCTAAAGCCTGTCACAGAGCTCACAAGTCTGACTGAAGTGCGAGCAAACCTCTCATTGCTGTGCACATCTGACTTTATTCAAACTAGAAAAGAACGTTTTACAAAACAAGATCCTATACAAGAACTTTCTGGCCCAGTAGTTTTACCAAGTTGTGACACTCGTGCCTTGCTAGCAGGAGCTGTGAGTAGATAGAGCAGCTCGAGCCCAGCAGTAAGGTGCAGGTGATGGGTGAGACCAGGCTGAAGCCTGCTCCCAGATACCCCTGAAGGTGTCTGGGGGCCTGGGGGTGTGCCGACGGTGAGCACGAGAATCGCCCACTGCAAGACAAAGTCGCTGACGAGTAAGCTCGAGGGAGGCACACCAATCAATGAAGACAAGGAATGCAGCTACATGTGGATATAAGTACAAAACAAATAAAGGCATAAGTGAAAAATGGTCCATATTCCTGTTACTGTATGAAGGACACCCGCTTCTTCTGTCGTCTTTTAGAGACTGTATTTGTAGTTAGAAAACTTGTAAAGGATGTACCGAGGAGTTGTGCATGATGGGGAATGATAATTTCTAACTGACCAGCGGCCCATGATCTTGACGACATTGGGATCAACCCCCTTCATGAGCAGTTCTGTGGTACCTCCTATTCGGAAAGAGTGGCCGGTGGTGTGTGGTATACCATGACTCTTCCAAATGCGGTTTTAGACGGTGAGGAAATGTCGTTTCATCAAACAGACGAGATCGCCAGTCCGCGTGAAGAAGGAGAAAAGTGGGCTGTCATTCGCGGCGTGATTGCGAGCGAGATGAATGTGCAAAGACTCAATGGGGTTGGATTTGCCCAGCTGCCGTGTGACGGAGGACTTGTCGCCAGCATACTTTTTCGTCTTCGTGTAGGGGTAGAATAGAGTGCGGGAACCATTCAGTGTCGACGGCGGGGACAAGTGTGAGTGAGCTGGTACACGATGCGGGTCGAATGTAGACCGGTTTTTTGCGAAGAGCTCACCCAGTCGGGACTGAGTCCAGAATGCCGTGTCTGCGGCTGCTAGGATGCAGGCGTTCTCCGGAATGTGATCGTCAAGGTCAATATGGAGGAGTTCAAGCATATCACGGGTGACGGGAGGCTGAGGAGGTCTGCCATCCGGTTGCATACACTCGACTCCATTCAGTATGTAGGTTAAACGATGGTGACCTTTCCAGGGTACATCGTGGATGATGTGCCAGGCACGTACAGCAGAGAGATAGTTCCGAACAGAATTCCGCATGTGCGTACTGGCAAGGGATGCTGCAAATGCGCACAGCCGCGGGTAATTGATGTACTTGGGGGATGTATTCGCCATCGCAGAATTTCCAAAAGCTATGCAAACCTGGGTCGTACGAATCTAGTGTAGAGTCGGCAAGACACAGAGAGAGGACTTGGTTTGTCTTGACTCGGGATCTGTTGGAGAGTTGTGCATGTACGTCCGAGCATGGTGTATGTGCAGACGGGTGAGGTTCGAAGAGGCTACATTTTTTGTTGGCCGTGGCTGGTAATGGCAGAGGACGGATAGTACGTTCAGGGCGGCCAGTGAGATTGTCAGAAGGGTGATGCTGGAGTGGAATGTGTTGACGATATTGATCCGTGAATAGTTGGAGTTCGCGGAACGGCATGATGTTGCAGAGGAAAGGCTTTGGCGGTTGTAATGCTGGAAAGACATGTGATTGTAGACAGGGTGTAAGGTATTGTAACAGTGGGTAATACAGAGAGGTTCGTAATTACACAGGTTCTACGAATGGTACAAGATGCGAGGGGATTGACTGGAGATGCGTAAGTTTCTGGGAAAGGGGACAACTGAGGATTATGATATAGACTTTGCGGTTGACTATCCTGACCGATACCAAGTACCTTGCCTTCTTTAAAGTGTTGTATGGCTCGTGCACGGATCTCTAGTGGCTTCATAGTCATCATATTTACCATAGAAGTGCCTGTCAAGCCATGCACAGTAAATGGAGACTGGCCTTCTGTTGTGCCATCATCTTCTGCAGTATCATGCACTGCGGTCTGCAACTTTGGTACCATCATAAGATTGGTGATAATCGACAATTACTGGAGGAACATCTTCTGGATAGGTCTGTAGATTTGAATAAGAGATCTCAAGGTCAGCATAGTCAATATGGTTGAGTTTAAGCCATTCTAGGGCTTGCACCACTTTGTTGCGATGAACCAGAAAAGGGGTACGAGCATACTCCTTAGGGGTAGGCTTTGATGGTCCAATATAAAGAAATGCAAGGACTTTATCCAGTTCCTCACGATTAGGTGGTAATGCTGCATAGATTTTTGGCATAGGAACAGAATGACATACTGCATTGGCCTTCATCTTATGCATTCGAGATGATGCTACTTGTACAATACAGTGATTATGTTTTACATGTGCAATGAGCATTTTCTCCGTCCAAGTGAGATCCTGTAATTGTGGTGGAATTGCACCAATCCAAAGTCCATTTGCAAGGGCATCTGTAGGCACTTTACCTTGCTGCAAATATGAAAGACAGTAAGTGCATATGTTGTCACAACTTGGTAAAACTACTGGGCCAGAAAGTTCTTGTATAGGATCTTGTTCTGTAAAATGTTCTTTTCTAGTTTGAATAAAGTCAGATGTGCACAGCAATGTTTGAGAGAACTCGAATGTGAGAATCCCTTCGAGTTCTACAACTCGTGACAGCATAGACAGGATGCGGAATGTGACAGAGTCACAGTTGGTTCTTGTTCTGTGTCCACCAGCTCTCGCGCTCTATGCGCTCTCAAGCTTCACTTCTCTCCATGTCCAAGCGAAGTACGTGCAAGCGCGTTCCCATTCCTGCCCCCGTATCCAGTCCTCCTCCCGATTCTGGTCTCGCGGAGCACGATGCAGAACTGGATAATATAGAGCAAGACCTCCAATCAGATTCTCACTCCGATACCGAAAACGAACTCGACGCTGCTGAACCGACACATGACTCCCCAACCGGTGAACTTGACGAGCCTATTAATCTTATGCCTGCTCATGCTGCCACCCCTTCTGGTATTCGTATTAAACTTCCCTCTCGCGGCCGACAGCATTCCAACACTCAGACGCCTAACGAGCGTCATCGTAAGCGACGCAAGAACACTGCTCGTCCGCAACATGAACCCTCTCCCTTTTCCTCACCTACTCCACGGTCTGCAGATGCTAGCACCTTGGCAACCTCTCCACCTGCAGCCTCCATCCCCTCTCCCATTCGTGACCTTCAACGTGCCATGCAACTACATCTCGCCGGCATGACTGATGAAGCCCGCGATGACTACTGGCATCATGTCACAGAGTTCAATCTCATTTTCCTTGGTGCCTCTACTGCTGCTACTAGCACCGCTGCTCCGCAACAGCCTCCAAGCCCATCTTCACCTGCGATGCAGCAGAACAATCATGACGATGCACTGGGTATGTCGCCCTACCATACCCTCTTGTCCTCGCGCATACACGTACCATCTGCTTCCTACGGGCATATACTTGTGCCATTTACTTTGTTGCCATGCATATCCGCACCCTTTCCTCCTACATACTAGTGCATACATGCACTGCTTGCTTCTACCCGGCGCATACATGCGTCCTTACTTCCCTACCGGTGCATACATGCATCCTTACCTTCCTACCAAGGCACACTTGCACAGTTATCCATTACTCATTACGTTTTCAGACATTCCACTGCTACCTCCATCACAACAAGTCGCGAAGTCCCGTCATGACTTCCCTACGCACGACATTGCCCTAAAAGCTCATCAGTTACCGTTTCCTACCGCTGTCTCTAATCGGATGAAAGCAGGCTGGAAGGAGTACATCCCGCTCACTGCGCTCACCAATATGGCCTGCCGTGCAGCGGCCAACAAGCAACAGACTCGCAATGTTGTAAAGTATGAAGGCGGTGCACTCACTGTCAGTCAGGGTCCCTTGGACGGCTCTCATGAGCGCTGGCTCACTCTGGCCGAAATTTCGGAAGCATATCCTCGTTTCTTGCGTCTCATTCAACAGCATTACCCTCATCCCAAGTCTGTCCAGCAGTCTGTTGCGCAGGAATTTGTGACACATTTCCAGCATATAAGCCATCAGCCGAACTTCGCAGAACACATTGGTCTGTACGTCGAATACGACCGATAAATTCGGTTACTCCACATCAGCAGTCTACCTGGCAGGCAGGAATATGGTCGGCAATTCTGAATGACTATATGCTCGGCTGTAGCAATAACACCTACTCTGTCCAAGGTTATCCAATTGATGGAGCCCTGACGAATTTCTTTGCTCCACAATTCTCGTCGCTATTGCGCAGCATAGCTGCACCCTCTGCTGGCCCCTTCTCCTCATCTACCTCCCACACTGACAAACAACGCGGCATAGGAAAGGGTTCCTTTCGTAATGGACCACCACCACCACAGGGCACTTTTCGCTCGCGTGACAGTGGATGGAGCACTGTCCCTGAGCGACTCCGTTGTTTCCTGTGCAGCAGCCGTGAGCACATCGGCATGCAGTGCACATGTGGCACACTCCCCTTTGCACACCGTCACGATGGCAGACCAGTCCTGCCCACCGGCAAGGCCTTCTGTTTCAACCACAACTCCAGAGGCTGCTCTCGTGACTGCTGTGTTCATGTGCACATCTGTTCTCTCTGCGGAGATGGAGGACACTGTGCCCAGGCCTGCAAGGCTGTTTGATTTCTGCCCGATCATCACCCCGCTGCACTGGATCGCTTGGCGCGATGCTCTTGAAGCAGCAGGCTGCCTAGCAGAATTTGCAGATGTACCCATTGGAATTCGCGATGGTTTCCATATTGGTGTTTCTTCCCATCCTTCTTGTACCATCATCCCTCCTAATCACAAATCTGCATTTGACCATCCCAATGCTATCACTTCCTACATTCAAACTGAACTTTCTGCACGCCGATATTCTGATCCCTTCCATCCCGAACGTCTCGAAAAGCTCATCGGCCCCTTCTGCACATCGCCGCTCGGCACCGTCCCCAAGGCCAACAGCCCTGGTGTTTTCCATATTGTTCAAGACTTCTCATACCCATGCAATGACCCACATATCTCCTCCATTAATGCGGAAATCAACAACGATGATTTTCAGTGTGAATGGGGAACTTTCACTGCATGCGTACTAATTCTCCTCCTGACACGCAGGCTTCTGTAAATGACTTTGAAAAAGCCTATTGCTGCATGCCCATTGCCCCCAAACACCAGCCGTTAGTTGTCATCATGTGGTTAGGACTTGTGTATATGGATCACTGTGCTGCATTTGGCACATCCAGCACTCCAGGTATCTTTGGTCGAACAGCCGATGCATTGGTACGAATCTTTCACCATCATGGCATACAAGCCCTAATCAAATGGGTAGATGATTTCGTCTTTTTCCGCTACCCTATCAACTCCAATGCAGATGGTTCCTATGTCTAACCTTACGATGAGTCTCTCATTTTTTCTGTCGCAAAACCTCTCGGGTGGCCGTGGTCTCTCCCAAAGCACTCTCCCTTTGCAAATTCTTTCAGCTACAATGGCTTTCTCTGGCACATCGCCGAACGCACAGTACAAATCCTGGTGCAGAAAAAAGCGAAGTATCTTCCACGTCTCCAGCTCTGGGTCAAACACCACAAGGTCTCACAGAAGGAGTGTGAAGGGCTTATTGGTACGCTCAACCACTGCTGTCTTGCCGTTCCTGAAGGCCGGACCCATCTCCCTTCATTCTACCGTCTCTCAAGTTCATTTGCCTCCGCTACGTCACGGTACATCCGCAACACCATTCCTCCCGCATGTCTTGATGACATCTCTTGGTGGTGCAAATGCCTCAGTCTTTCCTTTTGCGGTTCTCTCCTCTATGCCCCACCCGAAGTGACAAATCTCGATGTGTACATCGATGCGTCAACCTCTTGGGGTATCGGCTTAGTCGTCAATGGGAACTGGCTCGCTTGGCGCCTTCGGGATGGCTGGAAGGGTGACGGCCGCAAAATTGGCTGGGCTGAGATGGTAGCTGTTGAGCTCGCTGTCCGCTACCTCACTGAGGTTGCACGCCTTTCTGATCTTCGTTTTCTCATCCATTCTGATAACAAAGGTGTTGTAGGTGCTTTAGACGCTGGCTGCTCTCATAACATACACCAGAATCGTACTTTGCAACATATTGTCTCACTTTTTCTCTCTCACAAGATATGGGTACATACAAACTGGATCCCGTCCAAACAGAACCTTGCTGATGCACCATCTCGTGGCCTTTTTCCCCCCATGGCTATTCCCATATGGCTTTGGTGGGATGGAGAATGTTTGAGGCATGGAGTTCGTATCAGAGACCAAGCATAAGCAGCAACTGCTGATGTACCATGACAAGCGATTTCAGACTGAACCGCTATTTTCACTCATTGCATTTAATCAAGAACAAATTAAAAATGCGACTATAGCAGGCTATCTTCTTGCAGATAAGCAGAAATTTACAGATATTACCAACCGTCTACTTAATCTTAGTGATAGTACTCTCGCTGATCTTATCAAACGACTCTCCGCTGGACATGTCAAGCCTGAGACAGAGGAAGAGAAGGCTTGTTTCAAGATTATTAATGACTTAGATCATGTTGGTTATAAAGTTCAAGGCTCCATAACCAATCGAAAGACCATGCGGAATGAGATTTGGGCACTCACCAGCTACCTTGGTGCGCCATCATGGTTTATTACATTTGCACCTGCAGATCTTAATCACCAATTGCCTTGTACTTTGCTGATACTCAACAGACCTTCTTACCAGACTTTAGAAAGTACAATGAACGCTATCAACTAATTGCAAATAATCCAGTTGCTGGTGCGAGATTTTTCAAAATGATGGTTGAGCTTTTTCTAAAGCATGTACTTGGAGTTGGACTTGATCAACCCGGAATATATGGTGAGGCCACAGGCTACTATGGCACAGTTGTACAGCAGGGTCGGCTGACCCTTCATATGCATATGATGATTTGGATCATGAATGCACTTACTCCACAAGAGATACGGGACAGAATTATGGATCCCAATTCAGATTTTCAATGCAAAATGGTAGAATATTTGGAATTTATGAATGGTACCATGGAAGATGTACATTAACGCCTCGATAAGTTGAATGAAGAGAATCCTGATCATATTCCTCCTACTGAGACATTGCCAGATGCATCACCACCTTTATGTGAGTGGGATGACTCTGAAAACTGTCCAGAGTGTAAATTATCTCAATCTTGGTGGAAGAAATTCACACACACTGTAGATGAACTCCTGTATTGTTCTAACTGCCATACATGTCATAAAGGATGTCTGAATCCAGAGTACGGCTGAAAGGCCAGATTCCCATGTGAGTTATTCAAAGAGACCACTGTTGATCCTGAGACTGGTGCACTCAATATGCGGAAAGGCGAAGCCTGGATCAATACTGTTACACCAACACTCACCTATCTTTTGCGATGCAATACCGATGTGACCAGTCTTTTGTCTGGTACTGCAATTAAGTCAGTGATTGCATATGTAACAGACTACATTACCAAGACACCCTTGAAGACACATGTCATGTTTGATGCTATCTGTCAAGTATTTGACAGAAATGTTGAGTTAATTGGTGGTGACATGCCAAGATGTCAGAAGGCGCGTGTACTACTGACCAAGATTGTCAATGCTTTGACTGCTAATCTAGAAATTGGTGGACCAATGGCCTCTCTGTACTTACTTGGTCATAGTGATCATTACACTGGTCATAAATTCAAGATCTGTTACTGGAGAAACTATGTGAATGAAGCCAAGAAAGCATGGCTGACTAGAACACCAGATTTTGATCAAATGAATGTTGATGCACCTTTAGATCCTTTACATCATGACAGAGAAAAAATCATGCTAGGTAATGTTTAAGGAGAGTATGTTGCCTTATCTCCAGTATGTCTATCGGCCCAATATCCAGGAAGAAAGATGCCCGACCTGCCAATTTAAATGCCTTTGATGCAGTGACTATAGAACCTGAAACTGATTTTGAAAATAACTATGCAGTTGACGACGAGTTTTTTGAGATTCCTGAGGTTAATAAGCAGTGTTTGAATAGGAAGAGGAAGAGGAAGATGTCATTTACAATGAACAGATCTTCAATATGACAGCAGAGGAGGAAGAAAGTGAAGATGAACTTCTGCTGACCACAAAGTCTGCAAAGAAGGCAGCAGCGCAAGAGAAGAAGGAGCATCTGGCCTTGGAATTGCAACCTGGTTACTTTACTGTAGAACATCCTCAGAAAGCAATTCACCAGGTATGACTGCTTGCTGAAGCAGACAGTCTGGTACCCAACTTTGTAGGTGGATTATTACCCAGATGTGACACCGGTGATCGTGAAGAATATTGCCTGACAATGCTCAGCTTGTTCAAACCTTGGCGTACTGGGCTTGACCTTAAGCTTGATGCAAATACATCCTGGCACAATACCTTTGACGAGTATAAATTTACACCTAGACAGTTAGAGCTCATGAAATTCTTCCATATACGCTATGAGTGCAATGATGCTAGAGATGATTTTGCTGCTGCACGTAAGGCAGGCAAGTTCCATGGACAAATGCCCTTTGGTATGGATGACAATGCAATGAATGAACTTGATATCCAATATCATGAAGATGAAGTCACAGCAGGTGTAAGTAATGATCTCAATTTGATGCCTGAATCAGATGACTGGGATCAAGTGGGGGAGACGATGCTGGTCAGATTTAGCAGTATGCTGCAAGCTGAAAGAATTATGCAAACATCTGGATGGCTGGACAATATGGATACAGATGTGGGCATTTTGAGTCTTCCTACTGAGCCTATTACAGGTCAAGAGAAAACAGCAGTGGAATGGAAAAACTTACTTGCTGAGAAGCGACAGGAGATCCTTTGTACATGAGAGGAACAGGCAGTAGATAACAATTCAGATGAAGTAGATCCCAAGACAGGACTGCATATAAGCAAGGATGTGAACACAGTGAAGGTAATTGATCAGTCTTATCTGAATAAGAATTTTGAGGCAAAGAACAAAGCAGATCAAACCCTGATCAATAATACTGTCAAAAACTTTAGTCTCAATACTGACCAAGAATGTGTCTTACGAATCATAGCAAACCATGCAACTGATCCCAGTGGTGAGCAGCTAAAGATGTACTTGGGCAGAATGGCAGGTACAGGAAAATCTCAAGTTATTAAGGCCCTGATTCATTTCTTTGGTGAGCGAAAGGAAGGCTATCAGTTTATGTGTGTTGCACCTACAGGCTCTGCTGCTGCTCTCATTGCAAATTTCAGCAAGTTCGGTAACTCTCAGACTTCCCTGATGCAAGTACGTGCACAACTCCTCAATGTTGACTATATATTTGTGGATGAGGTATCTATGGTAGACTGCAACAGCATGTATAATATATGTGCAAAAATGAGCACCGCTCTCAAGAATGAAGGTATACCCTTTGGAGGGATCAATATGATATTTGCTGGTGATTTTGCACAGCTTCCACTGGCTGGACCTACCTTTTCTTTATATTCACATAAGGTTGGAACACACGTTGATCTTAGTAATGTACATACAACCAATGGATACCATCTCCAAGAAGCCACACTAAGCAAGGCACTCTGGCATCAAGTTACTACAGTAGTAATTCTGCGTAAGAACATGAGACAGTGTTTACAAAATCCAAATGATGCCAAATTGCGTAAGGCCTTGGAGAACCTTCACTTTAAATCCTGTACTATGGCAGACATTAAACATATTGAATCCAGAATTGCCGGTCGTGCAGCAGACAAGCCCAAATTGAACCAACCAAGATTTAGAAATGTGTCTGTGATCACAGCATGGAATACTCACCGAGATAAAATCAATGAACTTGGATGTGCATGATTTGCTCAAGAGACTAAGCAGAAGTTGAAGACATTCTATTCTGTAGACAAATGGTCAGATACACCAGATGATAAGCCAAACCACAAACAGAAGGTGGTCAATCCACAATGGAAGTCTAACAAGATTGAGCCAGGAATTCAAGCAAGACTATGGGAACTGCCTCATGCTAGTACAAATCATCACCCAGCCCCTGGCCATCATGCCCATGCACCATAAGTTGAAACAATAAGTTGAAACAGTGCTGTGGCAAATGATTGTAAAGAAGTGGGAAAGATCTGCCTTTGGGGTGACCTTGGCGATGATGATTACAATCTGCAATGCCCAAATGTTCCTAAACTGTCCATCACCAACCTTAGCACCAAAGGTCACCAACTTGAGGCTGGCACAAGCCTCTGATCTCCAAAGCCTGAACCTTCATAAAATGTTACTCTGCACAAAATGGCAACAAGCCTTTGAACTGGTACACCCACTTCCGCCAACACCACTGCCAATGTTTAGCAACTTCTAATCCTGGCAACACCACCTTCAATGTGAGCAGCAGAGATTCAGTATGAGAGCCAATTGCTCACTAGTCAGTGTGACAGTGGCAACTCTACTGCACACCAATGTGCTGCTCATAGTAGGATGTCTCCCTCCAGTGCGGGGCCTTAATCCCTGACCTGTGCTGGACACCTTCCTGCATAAAGTATGCATACACCAACCTTTTGCCCTGTGCATGAGTATCACCATGACAAAGGACCTTTCCACAGAAGGTGACCATGATTCTCTGGCGGTAGTCAATGGCAACTCACAAGCCAGGAAATTTCAGCCAAGTGGTGCTGTATTTTTTCCTAAGGCAGCCAAAAGGTCCTAGAATGTTTATCATGTTTTACTGTCTCTATGGAAAGGAGATTCACAATTGGCAATAATCTGAAGTGTGTTGAATGGCGATGGCCACTCCATTGCCACTCCAGATTCTGCTGTATTAGTGTAAGGCATTGGCAGCCTGCCAGGTACAGTGATGGGTGAATGATCACCAGGATGGCAACCAACAGTGTCGAGGACTGGTGTATCTCACTCAGCCAGCATCCACCTTTAGACTGGCAGAAGTTTCCAGCTTGCCTGAGTCCACGTGCTTCTCGAGCTGTTTAGCATGAGGTGCAGGTGAGCGAGGACACTACATACCTCTCTCACTTGTTGGAACCATCCTGGGGACAGACACAATGAGCCCGCTGGAAACTCAGCATACTCTTAAGGATGTAAGAAGTACAATGAGTTGTGCCGCCAACTGATGGAAGAGGTACAGGCCAGAGCTGGATGCAGGGTGGTCGTGGCACGAACTGTCTCTGCCTGATGAATCCATCAGAGAATGGCTGATCAATCTATCAGAGAATGGGATGGCACACAAGTACACATTAACCTGGCAGTCTGGTGCAAGCACCTCAGGAAGAATCCATGCCAAGATGTGCCCATGCAAGTCCATCAAGATGATGGGCTCGTCAACATGGGTTTCAGTAATGCTATAAGGGGATGGCCATCTGTGCTCCAGGTCTGCCTGAAGAGCCTCGTTTTGGCCTGTTGGCTCAGTGGACAGGCTATCACAATATCTGTCTACATCCCAGCTGAGTTGTACTATGAAAATGGCCGGTCAGTGCAATGGGCCAGGAGCAGTGGCTATCTGGATTACGAAATGTGTTTACAAGAGCATCTGCAATGCCATTACACTCCAGGAGAAGTCTGGATGAGATGCTGGCTAGCACCGAAAGCTCTGGTGCAGAATGAGCTGCTTTGGTGGCAACATGAAGCTTGTGGCAGAGCATCAGCTAAACCCCTGCTACCTAATCCATCAATGGCATGGGTGGCTGATCGCTCATGTTGTTGCTAAACAAAATTAAGTCATGGTCTGGCCTGTAGGTGGCTTCCACCAAGGTGCAGGTAAAGCAGTGCTTTCTGCATGATGCCAGACAGAGACTGGGGATGGGGGCCGGTTGGAACACTGCACTGAATACATGCTGCTGCCCACAATCTGCTCAGAAAGCCATGCATGCCCATACTGCATGTAAGTCATGCTGTAAGCCAGATTGGCAGACACTGTTCCATGCCAGGCCTTCAATGTGCGAGCAGTGATTAGCTTGGAGTCAAAATCTGAGGTTGCATGATGTTTGTTGGACCTAAGATCGGTGATATCTGAGCGATGATCATCATCAGATTGACTTCTTGGAGCACCCATGAGATAGAGTTGGCATCGCGCCTTCTTGCACAAATGCTCATAAAGACTGGTATGTGAGCAATGCATCATGTTATGACCAGTGCGCCCTTCTGATGACTACCAGAGGCGAGACAGATGCATGAGCCATAACCCTCTGCCATGGCAACATGGATAATATGTGCAAGCCCAGATGAGCCATCAGCATGAGGTTATTCTGCATGCACTGGGGTTTAAACTTGCCTATGGATGACAACTCAACTTGAAGGAAAAATCTGCTCTGCCCCTGCTTCAATATGCCAACAAAATTTGCGATCCTCCTTAGGTACCAGCCCATAGTTTCTGACAAGCTGCAGTCCTATGACTCTGCAAATGTGACGGCTCGCAAGACCAGTGGAAGGCCTGTGCACCAAGCTCAAGTCACAATTTGAAGATGTTGGAAAATACGACAACATTATCATCGACGCCGTAGGTGGGACTGCACCATTTCTGCACATGCGTTGATATGCAAGGTAGAAAATCCACGAATGGTTGAACAATTGCACCAGGCATGAGGAAGATAATTGGCAGGAAAGCCCAATGGGTTCAAAGTTTGGGATGTGCTGTAAGCTGCCAACCGAGTGGTGATGGAAGGGAACTCCACAGTTGGTGGTGTGGAAGAAGATGCAGAGCGCAGAGTGAGTGAAGGTCACAGAGGAAGAGAGGGTGGTGTACGAGACAAAGGCCCAGAACTGGACCAATGGAACTCTCAATGATGAGACTAAAGTGAAGTGCATTGAGAACTATATCGTGCTAGCCTTTTCACTCACAATTATCCAGGATGCGAGAGCAAAAGATGATCTCTTACCTCAGCAAGTTTGCCAACACAATGTGGGATGCAATGGAAGTCAGAATGACCTTTATGCTTGGCATACTCCAAGGAGGGAGGCACTGTCAGAGTGGAAATGTAAGTGGGCCACTCCACCTTACTGCCATGACCTGATGGACAGCCAGGGTGGACGTCAATCATAACATTGGTGATGCCACCACTTTCAGTTCTCACCCCGGGTGGTTGGCCGCCTTCACTCATCTCAGCAAGAACTTTGCAGACTGGGCCAAGGGAGCATATAGTTAGTGCAGAGATGCATGTTGCCTGGTGTAATGCTCACAGTTCTGCCAGGGCTGACAGAGGCTGTCGTGGAGCTGAAGAAGATGCCAGACATACCTAAGAGAGCAATGGATGCTATTCACCTGAACAAGAATGGCTATCTGCTCCTACTGCCAATGCCTCCTGCCAATGTGCAGCCGAGCTTGAACATCAAAAAGAATCAAGTCATTGAGTTCCTGAATTATCACTATGGTAAGTGACTCAATTCAGCTCAATTCATTCATGCTCACTGTGTGGCAGTGTTGGTGACAGGTGACCATGATGCCAAGATGCCATGGAAGAAGCTCAATGAAGCCCAACCTTTGGTGGACTTCATCTCACTGGACATGCTCCTCATGGACTTTGTAATTATTGATCCCTCGAAGATGACACAGGATCAGGTCAAGGTGCTTCTGAACCACTGGCGAGTGTGTGAAATTGCCCACGGGGTGGAAGAAATGATGCAGTTCTTGAAGTGCTGGAACAAGAAGGGCATCGCCATCTCCACCAAGTATGATCCACTGCCACCACTGCAGGCAATCATCAAAGAGGACCATTAGGGCAATGCCAAAAAGGCTGAGTCCAGTGGCAGTCACAAACACAATGTGGGTAAGACAGCCAAGGTGAAGGGAAAGGCCAAGAGGGGCAGTGGCAGTGATGGTGCTGGTGGAAGTCGAAAGGCTCACAAGGCTCACAGTCATGCTGAAGAGCAGTGATGACAACAAAGGAGACATGCCAGAGCCACCATACCAGAACACATCAGAGGATGAGCATGTTGGCTGTGAGCATTTGCCAGTGCCTACCGATGATGACCTGGTGAAGGAGTTGGCAGGCCAAGCACCTGCAGCCATTGGCACTCTGTTTGAACCTCATGTCCTTTGTGTGGATGAAGATGATCGACATCATGCAGCAGACTTTCGATGTGAGCTTCACACTAGACACTGCACACTTTCGCTGATCATCTTAAGTTCTTAAGCCACTGCCTGGAGAAATCAGAGGAGTTGAAGACATTGCTTGGAGCACCTGGAGCTATGGTGAGTGCCACCTACCTCCATTGCATCAGACTGTGGATATGAATGCCATGGATCACAAGCCCTGGGTAAGCATGCATGGCTACACCTGCACTGTTCAGGCCAGTGTGGCTTGGTCATTCACATGCTGCTTCATGACTTATATGCAATTACGATTCCTGAGGTACGAAGGAATCGTTTTTTATGGGATAGAGCTTCCGCCAACTTTTGGGAGGACACGCCCTTTTTCCCCAAGGTGTGGGAATGACTTTTCAATACAATTTTGTATGTGAGAGCTGCACCTAGTCCTGGGTTAGGTCTAGGGTTTAACTACAAACTTTGTAGTGCCTGTTGTTGCCATCCTACAACTTGAGTACAGTTGTTCTTTCAAACTGATTGTAGTGAAAACCAACGCGACTTGCAGAAATAGTAATCAATAGAAGTGCCACAGCAGCCACAGAGGACCAATGCATCATAGTCAGTGAAAGTATAGAAGCACATGCTAATTTCAACACATAAAAAGCAGTACCATTGAAATCTGTGAAGGAAATGGAGCATAATGCTCTCTTAAACCAAGTAAATCTGAGTAAAACTGGCAGAAATATCTCAGTTTTGGATTAGAATGCTCAGTGTAAAGTGCAGAAAAATTGGATAAATGCCAGAAAAATTTGAGAATGACTCTAAAATGCACATAAACATGTGAGATAGGGCGCCTTATTTTTTACATGCAGTGCATATTGAAGAAGCAAGCAGAATGGAGAGAAAACTAAGAAAATAAATTGTAGCACTCCAGCAAGTGATTTTGATGTTCTAAAAGTAACACCGTCAGATTTAGCTTGAAAATTTGGTCAGAATGGTTACTTGGTTTATCCAAATCCGAGCAGAATTGAGTGAGCTACAAGCCTGGCAAGTTTGGCTACAAGTGTGATAACAAGTGCTTGAAGCCGGTAGTGTCACGTGCCACCCGAGTCACGTTTCCCGCCGTACGAAACGTTAAGCGCTCTAGGGCACTTAACGTTCCATATGGCGGGAAATGTGACCTGCAGGCCATGTGACGTGTGGCTGAAGACAAACATGCAGAATAAAATGCAAAAAAATCGCAGAAATACCAGGAAAATTATGGCATGGCCTTTTGATGATAGTAGACTTGTAGATGTAACTAGACAATGTTGTAATTGTAAAGTCCTTACACATCCACACTAGATGACATATTTGAATATTGTAAGGCCATACAAACCAATACTAGAGGGTGTAATAGAATTCAAGAGATGGTATAATGAGGCATTGAAGCAGGCTTCCTAAACACTACTAGACATACTAGGAGTCAATACAACACTTTGTAGGCTATTGTAATCATCTTACAAAGTGACACTAGATGACATATCTCACTATTGTAGGGTCACATGTTCACTAGGACACTTACAAGAAATTACTAGAGACTATTGAAGGTTACTGAAGATTCTTACAAAGTGATGCCAGGTAACACTTCCGACTATTGTAAGCTCATTACAAACTCATACTACAAAATATATTAGGAGTCAGTATCATTGGGTGTTGTTGACTTGCTGAACATTGCTAGGCAATATACTAAGAGTTAGTAGGCAACTTTGTAGACTATTTAATAATGCGGCCCTTATCAACCCACACAACTTATCAATGTATAGTGGGATGTTGTAGGACACTTACTACACATTATTAAATGGCACACTAGGAGTTGGTAGAGGAGTTAGTAGGCGACTTTGTAGACTGTTATCAATGTCTAGTGGAACGTTGTAGAACACCTACAACACATTATTAGATGATACTAGGATTTAGTAGATAATATAATAACAATTTATTGTATACATTTTGATGTGTTGCTATAGACACATGGGTTATAGTTTCTAGTGTTATTTTTGTAGTGGTTCTTATATGCACATTGGTAACATTTTTTGTAGTGATTCATATAGGCACATTAGTAACAGTTTCTAGTGTCAATTTTTAGACTGATTCTTATAGGCACATGTGTAATAGTTTCTGCTGTTATTTTTTGTAGTGATTCTTGTAGGCATATTAGTAACAGTTTTTAGCATAATCTTTTGTAGTGATTCTTTTAGACACATATTTCTAACAGTTTCTGGTGTCATTTTTTGTAGTGATTCTTATAGGCTTGTTGGTAACATTTTTGTAGTGATTCTTATAGGCACACTTGCTAGTGTCATTTTTTGTAGAGATTCTTATATATTAAGAGTCTGTAGATAAATTTGTATACCAATGTAAGGCTCTTATAAACTCATACTACTCAGTGGAGTAGAATATTGTAGAATGCTTACCAGACATTATTATATGACATACTAGGAGTCAGTAAAGTATATAATAGACTATTCATGGTTTGTAGGTGGTATATTAGAATTTTGTAGATGACATTGTAAATTGTTGTAAGATACCTACAAACTGATAGTAGGTGGCCTTTCAGACTATTATAAGACCTTACAAATAAATACCAGGTGCCATACCAGGCTATTATAAGGTCATTAGAGTACTGAGCAACTTGCTAAAAGTTAGTAAACTATGTAGTAAGATATTGTAGGAGCTTACCAAACATTACCAGATCACATTATGGGGCATTGTAAGATCTCCATTAAAAATGATAGGCAGTATGTCAGACAACTGTAAGGCACTTACAAACTAGTTTGGAGTGGGCCATTGCTTCGCATGGCAGTAACGATTCCTGAAAGGTTATAATAAGATGTCTTTAAGACTGCACTAATTTGAGTTACCACCTAATAGTATCTACTGAGTCTCCTATAATAGCCTAGTTTACCATTGCCCTTATAATAGCCAGAGTAGAGTATGGGTGGGGCTAACCTGCGCAGAGACCAGTACCAGTACACACAGGGGTACAGGTGATCACAGACATACAATCTTCACAGACACATGTCCTTTATAGAAGAAGTTTTCAGAAGATCAGAAAAGGTAGGGAGAGATGGACAATAGGATCAAACTTATATATGCACAATATTGCATTATTTCCATCAGCCTACCTCCCTTATTGCCCATGCACATTGCTCTTGCTAGCACATGCTGCTCTTATCAATATAACCACTCCCATATATGCATAGTGCACTCATGCACCTATTGCACTCTTACAATCAGATAGCATTTGGCAAACTCATTACTGTCATTGTCTGCCCTCTGTGCATGTCATCCTTGCAAATGCATCTTAAAAATTTTCCTAAGCCTGAAAACTCTCACTTTTGCTTGGAGTACATTACATAATCTGTCTGTTATAAAGTATTTTATTCTGTCATTTTGGTGAAGCTTAAAGCACCCACTTTCAGTTTAAAAAGGATTTTGTACTATGTTTGGTGAGAGTAGCTATAAACTTTCACATCTGAAAAATTTTTCTATTTTTTTTTCATGTTTCTGAATCTTAAAACACTATGTTTTAACTTAAATTTAGTTAAAGTGCATCTTAAGTACTAGAAAGTGTCATACTTTCACCAATAATAGTCAGAACTATGAAAGTTGTTATTCCACCAATTTTTCAGATTAATAGGCATTTTTTTGAGCCTTAAAATGTCTACTGATAATAACTAAAAAGTTTCTTAGTCTCTCAATTTTTTGGCAGTTTTTACAATTTTTATCAGCCTTAGAAGACTCACTGTTGCTCAAGTTCAATTTAAAATGTATATTATAATTCACCTACTAATGAAAACTATACAACTTGTTTTTCAGTTTTTTTTTGTTGTAACAGTTTTAAGATCACTTACTTTGACTTCAAGAACAAATGTGCATATGAGAATTACTACAAAAATTAACACCAGAAATTGTTACAAATGTGTCTATAAGAATCGCTACAAAAAATGTATGTATAAGAAGCACTACAAAAAATGTATGTATAAGAAGCACTACAAAAAATGAGACTGGAATCTGCTACAAATGTGTTTATAAGAACTACTACAAAAAATGAGACTAGAAACTGTTACAAATGTGCCTATAAGAATCACTACAAAAATTGAGACTAGAAACTGTTACAAACTTGCTTATAAGAATCACTACAAAAATTGAGACTAGAAACTGTTACAAATGTGCCTATAAGAATCACTACAAAAATTGACCCTAGAAACTGTTACAAACATGCCTGTAAGAATCACTACCAAAAATGACACTAGAAACTGTTACAAACTTGGTTATAAGAATCACTACAGAAAATGATAGAACTGTTACAAATATGCCTATAGCATTGGATGTAAATGTTTATAAGAAATTATATTCTCTACTGACTCCTAGTATGCCATCTAATAATATGTAGTAAGTGTTCTACAATGTCACACTGTACTAAGTCATGTGAGTTGATAAGGGCCTTACAATAGTTTACAAGGTCGCCTACTGACTCTTAGTATATTGTTGAGTAATATTCAGCAAGTCAACAATAGCCTATTATACTAGCTCCTAATATACTCCTTAATATCAGTTTGTATTGAGCTCACAATAGTCTGTATATGTCACCTGATGTCACTTGTAAGAATCTCCAGTAACCTGCAATAGTGTCTAGTAATCACTAGTAA